GTTCTCATGGGATGTGAAGGGGGCAGGGTCTCCGTGGCACGGCTTGGGGCAGGGGCGCTGGGGCACGCGCAGATCTTCCCTTCTTGCACACAGCACCTTTTGCACAAGTTTCCCCTTGCACACGGCACCCCATCGCCAACTTGGACCTTTCTGGTTTGGACCTGTCGACGAAAATAATCCATAACCAATCTATAAATGAAAATTTGGGTGAGTTTATTTTGAGCTAAAATGTGAAGACCATGGCCTGGGGCCTTTCTTCCTGAAGGAAGAAAGGGCACCAAACAAGTGAGGTGTACAGAGTGGTTATATACCCCCAAACAGGATGTTTCACATATGATTGAAATGTCCCTCCCACAATAGTCAGGAGACTGCTCTGTCGGCACAGTGCTTGATGGACACAGCAGGTGGTGGGTCTGCTATCTCGGAGGGCGTAGCAGGAGGAAAGCCTATTGTCTCGAGCTGGGTGGTCACAGGAGGGCGTAGCAGGAGGAAAGCCTATTGTCTCGAGCTGGGTGGTCACAGGTGAGCACAGCAATCAGTTTCTAGCCTAAGGAAAGATGCTTAATCCTTAAGGAAATGCCAACGTTGGGAGGGGGAGGGAAGTTGCACCTTTATCTCAAGGGCCTTTGTTCTTGCCATAGGGAATGTCTAAAGCAGGTATACAATGCATGCTCAACAGCCTCAGTCAGGCCCTTTTGGAAAGACCAGGTCAGGCAGAATTAGGTTTACACCAAATGGCTTCCTCATATACTCCAATATATCCTATTGCTTGCCATTTTTATTTGTCATTTCTCCCTTTTGATCTCTAATCTTTCGATAGAAAGCATTGATGATCAAAATATTGTCCTCGGCGCCAGGGTGGTTGCTGCCTGCCCTGGGTCCATCACGGCCCTCGGTGCTAGGCTTTTAGCTCATTTATTTGCCTAGTCGTCTATGTTGGGGGGAAATAGTGGACAAGCATAGAAGTATATATATTAACAGAGGAAGCATTTCATAGATTACGTAATTTTCAATTAATTTTAGATTGTTGCACAAACACTGTATATGTGCTTTTCTATGACGCTTCACATTTACATTGCGTCTGATCATAGAACAAGAACAGTAACAATAATTCAATGTATTTGAAAACATTAGTTTAAATTGAGTTCTTAGGTAAAGTCTTTATCAGGAAAGGAAATTTGTCCAGGGTTATAAGACAGATGGACCATTTTAAGCCGTCGAGCAATCATTACTTTAGTTTGTATGCTACTCTTACAACACTGAGTAAAGAAAACAACAATTAGTTTGAATATTATGACCAGTACAAGGATTCCAAGAAATAATAGAAATAGGAATTGCAATCCAGATTGAAAAAGGGAACAGATACTGAAAGGGAGCCAACCAAACAATTCAAACTGGGTGCAGGATTGCATAAGGCATCAGCTTGCTTCTTCATGTGCTTTAGCAGAGATGACACATTGGAAGACTCATCAGGTATAGAAGCACAGCATCAATCTGAGTGATTGCATATGTACCACCTTGGGATGCAGTAAGAATATCTAGGGCCATTCTATTTCGAAGGACAGCCTTTTGCATTAAAGACATTTCAGTATTTAATAAGGCTATTCCTGCTTGACTGTCATTAAGGGCTTCTTGAGTAAATTTAGTCAGAGCTTCCATATGTAATAATGACATCTTTTAGTCCCAAAGAAGAAGCAAACGTAGCTGAAAATATAGCCATACCAGTGGAACTCTGAACAAGCCCATCCGGCGTTAAAGAGAGAGATTGCCAACAAGTTTTAACTCAGCCTGACTCCTTCCCTGCTTTTAAAGGAAACTCAGGGTGCGGTGTTTTAGCCATCCAGGCAGTAGCCAAGGCCAAAGATTTGTTCCACATAACCAGTGAGTTCCGTTAGGAGTCACTCGTTAAATGCCTGGCCTTCAAGACCAGTCTGTTCCAAATTAATCACTTTAAGTATGATAGCATTCCAAACAAATTATAAAATACGTATATAGTTTAAGCATAACAAAGGTTTAAATGAGGAGCTATAACATTGGGAATACAGGCCTGGTCTGGAGTCTTGGGACAGCTGTCTACAACAGATGTTGTCGTCTTCTCCTCCTGGTTTGGTCCTTTCCAACTGGGCCGTATAGAGTCTTTTATTTGATGTCTCTTTTGATAAGTAAATTCTCCCGGTTATAGTCCATGATCCTTAAGTTCTGGGAATTCTCTGTGAAGCAAAGCTGGTTCATAGATTTCTTCATCTGATTTCATGGGCTGTTTTATTATTTCAAAAGGAGACAGCCGATGTTTACAAAAAGTATAGACCTAAGATTAAGGAGCACTAGCACAAGAGCTTTTGGCCATGAGAGAGTAAATGCTTCGGAAAGCCTGCCAATTAAGTCTTGGTTGTGCCGTTAGTTCTTTTTACCAATCCTGAGGAGTGAGGATGGTAAGCACAGTGGAAATGCTGCAATATTTGCCACACATTACAAATAGATTTGAGTTCGCTAGTCACTGTGTAACTCAGTAGGAATTCCCCAAACAGGAATTATTCTCTCTAATAGTAATTTACCTACTGTTAAAGCTGTTGCTGTTCTGCAAGGAAAGGTCTCAAAACAATGTGAGAACATACAGATCATTACAAGATATATTTATCCTTGAGATGGTGGCATTTGGACAAAGTCCAATTGTCATACCTCAAAGGGTCCCTTAGGAAGGGAAAGTGGCCTTGTGACTCATGAAGTGGCTCCTCTGGATTATACTTTGGGTATATAGCACATGAAGTAGAGGCTATATGAGCCATTGGGAGAAAGTTTCCAAAAGTATTATTTTTCCCTTTTGCTGTAACCTATATATATTATTTTTCTTCTTCTGTGGTGATTTCTTAAGCCTGTAGAAGGAAATCTTTTTACTGGATTAGCAGAGTCAACAGAAAGTAGCAGGCATTCTTGAGGCTGGACAGCATATCCAGCTTGATAACCGTCCTTGTTTATCATTTAAGTAAGACTCAGTTGTAAACCAAATTAAACAATAGAATGCAGTCGTGGTCTTCTCCCCTTGTGATGTTGGAAGCAACGTAGCTGATGCGGGGTCGGTGAGCCGAGAGATAGATTTCTTGGACTTTCAAGGTCTGGCAGTAGTGCTCTCCCATCTAGAGAATAGCATGGGGACAGGACTCATGGGCAGGAGGAGCTGCTGCTGCAAACATGGGTTGACAGTAGGGCTAAATCTAAGGCATAGGCATGTGAGTTATCTCTTTAGAAGACAAAGGAAAGAATATGTAAAAAATTTAAAGTGGTATCAGTACAGGTGGGGTCTGGCTATTGGGTAGTCCTATAACTTTTAGATAAGAAGCAAACCAGAGTAAGTAAATACGAGAAGGCACCACCCTAAATACTATCTTCAGCTAAAGACAAAGGAGGACATTGGTGGTGGGGGGAGTCAGCTACATGAGGTCACCAGACAAGCACAATAAACAAGACTTAAGTCCTTGCCATCCCCGTTAAGAGTTTCTAGAGATAAGGTCATCCCCCCTTCCTCCTGGTGAAGAGAGGAGGCACCCCCACAGATGGAGACTTCCTTCACAAATGCAAATGTCTCTTATCAAAGGGCAAGCAATTTCCACTCCTCGGAGCCTCCTTCTCATCTGCAGTTTCAACAGTAACCAGCCTAAAATAATCCTCAGCAGCAGCAAGGCTGAAATAGTGAATAATATTTACCTACACAATATAACCTGAGGTTTATCATCATTTACTTCACAATGCTTCTCATGTAGTTTAGCATTCCAAACAAGCCTAATTAGTATCCCTCCTTTATAGGAAGAGAGAACAAATTTCTTTGAGAAGTCCCAGGGGCCCTCTGAAAATCCTCAGAGAAATTCTCCTTCATCCACGTCAAAAGAAAACCTTTATTTAGGACTTGACTTATTTATGTGCGTGTCCCCAGACGAGCCTATAATTAATTATGGTGAATGAGAGTGGAGTTCCCTATGGGACCACTGCACGTAGTGAGGATTGATCCTCTGACACTCCTGCTGAGGTCCTTAGTGACCTAAGGATGCCTTTTCGTAAAGGCCAGGAGGAGCTAATGTCCCTTTTCTTCAGAGCTGAACACGTTCAGTCTCTCATTTCTCTATCAAGCAGTTTGTTCAGACTTTATAAACACAATTCTTTCCAATTTAAAGCCAAATTAAAAACGTCAGCCTTCCCCATTCACTCCCAAGTTCCTCTAGGCTCCTCTGACCTAGGAACTTCCCTCCTAGGTTCCTCTTTCCTAGGGTATGTACCGGTACCCCTTAAAAACCTCTAGTCTTAAGACCTTACCCAGCTCATGTAAACTCTTGGACCATCAACTTAAAGTAAGGAGGTCCGGGTTTCAGGAGCACTCACCAGGGTCACCTGAAGAATGCAGTGATCCGGGGGGCTCAGTGGGCCCTTATTGGTACCGAATGCTGGCTCAGTGTAGATTCCAGGTGGTTTCCAGTGGGTTTCTCTGAAATCCTGCCGACTACACCAAGAAATGTCGACGAAAATAATCCATAACCAATCTATAAATGAAAATTTGAGTGAGTTTGTTCTGAGCTAACATGTGAGGACCATGGCCCAGGGCCTTTCTTCCTGAAGGGCACTGAAGAAGTGGGGTGCACAGAGTGGTTATATACCCCCAAACAGGATGTTTCACATATGATTTAAATGTCCCTCCCACAATAGTCACAAGATTGCCCTGTCGGCACAGCACTTGATGGACACAGCAGGTAGTGGGTCTGCTCTCTCGGTGGGCGTAGCAGGAGGCAGGTCTATTGTCTCGAGCTGGGTGGTCACAGGTGAGCACAGCAATCAGTTTCTAGCCTAAGGAAAGATGCTTAATCCTTAAGGAAATGCCAACGTTGGGAGGGGGAGGGAAGTTGCACCTTTATCTCAAGGGCCTTTGTTCTTGCCATAGGGAATATCTAAAGCAGGTATACAATGCATGCTCAACAGCCACGGTCAGGCCCTTTTGGAAAGACCAGGTCAGGCCGAATTAGGTTTACACCAAATGGCTTCCTCATATACTCCAATATATCCTATTGCTTGCCATTTTTATTTGTCAGACCGGTTCTGCAGTTTGACCATCTGACGATGTTTTTCTTTGGTTCCTATAAGTAAGCACAACTTAGAAGCCAAGTATTAGACATGGAAAATGTTTTAGGGACTTCTCTGGGTGACAGCAACACCTGCAAAGCTCACTCATTGGCCTATCCCCAGTCAAACCACTGCAGAAAAGAACTGGAAGCCTTGAGGGCACATAAGATGCTGTCAGAGCCATCAGTGGTGTTAACCATAAAACCAAGATTGGGGGTTGACCCTGTGGCTTCTGTGGCCTGGGGTTTCACCCGTTGAGATCCTGGGCGCAAACATGGCACCGCTCATCAGGCCACGCTGAGGCGGCATCCCACATGCTTCAAGTACAAGGACCTGCAATTGAAATATACAACTATATACCGGGGAGCTTTGGGGAGAAGAAAAAGGAAAAAAAAAAATTGGCAGCAGATGTTAGCTCAGGTGCCAATCTTTAAAAACAAAAAAACCCCAAGATTGTCCTAGTAGAGTAGATGGTTTGTGATACTTGGTTAAGATTCGGCAGGACCAAGAAAACTCTCCCGACCAACAGGACAAGTCACCTCTAAGGGAAAGTATTTCAGGGCTGCCGTGAATTCTCCTTCTCTCTTTCTTTGCTAACTCTCTAACTTTCCTCCTTCATAAAGACCAAGGTGCTGACAGTCCGCAAGGTGACAAGAGCTGTCATTTGTAGGCACCCTGGAAAAAGCTTGAAAAGATAAATGCCTTTTCTGTGCATCAGCCCCATTTAAGTAAAGGTGTTAAAACAGATGTTTGACAATATTTCCATGGACAGGTGATATTTTGGCCAACAGTACGTTGGACTCATAAAACCCCTCATGCCTACACATTTAAAAAACTTGGGAGCCGGCCCTGATGGCCTAGTGGTTAAAGTTGGCACTCACCACCTCAGTGGCCAGGGTTTGCTTCTTGGGCATGGAACCACATCACCTGTCTGTCAGTGGTGATGCTGTGGTGGTGGCTCACATAGAAAAACTAGAACAACTTACAACCAGGATATATTAACTACGTACTGGTGATGCAGGCTCGGCAAGCCAAAGAGTCCAAAGAAAGATTTCTTGGACTCTCAAGTTCTGGTAATAGTGCTCTTTTATTCAGAGAATAGCATGGGGACAGCATCCATGGGCAGTGAAGAGCTGCAGACACCGGGATGGGACCCATGGGCAGTAAGAGCTGCAATGGGTGAGGGCAGGGCTAAAATTATAAGGCATACGTATGTAAGATATTTCTTCACAAGACAAAGGAAAGGTCATGTAAAAAAGTTATTAAAATGGAATCAGTGCAGGTGGGGTCTGGTTATCAGGTGGTCCTCTAACTTGGGATGGGAATCAGGTCAGATCAGGTCAGGACGTCTTATGCTTCCTGGAGAATGATATGGATCGGTATGTAGGGCAGGACGCCTTGGGCTTCTTTCCCTGGGGCAGACTTGATCCTCATCACTGGGGCTTGGGGAAGAAAAAAAAACCAAACAAACTTGGAAGCAAAACTGTTGTTTGAAATTCAGACATAATTTACATACTACAAAATTAACGCTTTAAAGTGTACAAGTCAGTGTCTTTTGGAATATTCAAAGTTGTTCAACCATCACCACTAGTTCCAGAATAATCCGTTTTTAAAACCTGTAGAGTTTTAAATGCAGCATTTCCTTGGGTTTTGAACCCATTTATGAAATGTAAACAAGCCGCACCTTCCCGGATGGTTTTTAAGAGCAACTAACAGGGAGCTGGCCCTGTGGCCGAGTGGTTAACTTTGCACGCTCTGCTTCGGCGGCCCAGGGTTTCCTCTGTTCGAATCCTGGGCGTGGACATGGCACCGCTCATCAGGCCATGCTGAGGCGGCATCCCACATGCCACAACTAGAAAGACCCACAACTAAAATATACAGCTATGGACCGGGGGGCTTTGGGGAGAAAAAGGAAAAATAAAATCTTTAAAAAGAAAAAAAGCAATTAACTGGCAACAGGAAGACAGAAATATAGTAGCTGGATTTTAACAAATGCCTGGGCATAAATGGTAGATGGAGCTAATAATGAGGATGAAGGTTCATCAAGCCCAGCCATTGACACCCTTCTCCCACCAGCTCCCATGGTTCTGTGACAGCCACTAAAATCCAGAATGAAATAAACAGCCTGGAGAGCCAGGCCTTCAAAATTGTAACCTTCAAACAGTGTTCAATCAAGATTTTATTTCTTTGTTTTTATTTTTTTTAATCTTTTTTTTTCTTAAAGGTTTTATTTTTTCCTTTTTCTCCCCAAAGCCCCCCGGTCCATAGTTGTATATTCTTCGTTGTGGCTCCTTCTAGTTGTGGCATGTGGGACGCTGCCTCAGCGTGGCTTGACGAGCAGTGCCATGTCCGCGCCCAGGATTCGAACCAACGAAACACTGGGCCGCCTGCAGCAGAGTGCGCGAACTTAACCACTCGGCCACGGGGCCAGCCCCAAATCAAGATTTTAGTAAATAAGAAAGCACACTCAATCGTATCAATATTTCTAGTGAGAGCAAAGTGCCTTCTGGCACTTTTTAATTGTGCAAATAATTTGTAATTTTATAAAACTTTATCAAAAAATATGGTTGAGTTCCCCTCCCTAGAATCCTTTTAAACGTCCCCTTTGGGTGGGTGAGAGACTCACTAAGTGTAGCCGTGGGGGCTCCAGAATGTTCCCGGATGCAGCTGTGGCATCTGCACCTCCCCTCTGGGTTCCCAGCTCCCACCTCTGCCCTCTCCCTCCATCAAAGCAGAATAGACTCTTCTCCCCTCAGTGGCCAGAGTGCTATTTTCCAAGAGTCAGGTCATGTCAGGCCCCTGCTCAAAGTCTCTGATCACATTCCACACTCTGGAACCGTCCCAGCTCCTCCCCCATCTGCTCCCTGTCCCTCCTTATCCCTCAGGTTTTACCTCCTGTACCCCACCCCGCCCAACTCTGATCCAGCTGCTGGCCTGCAACACCAGTGCTGCTTGCTGCCTCAGGGCCCTTGCATGGCTGTTCCTTCTGCGTTGTCAAGCCCTCAGGGAGAGGGCAGGGGCTGCCCTGGGGCTGCCTGCCCTGCCCCCACAGCTTCTCCTGATGCTCCTCGGATCTCCAGCCTGGAGTGGGAGTGGGGGGCAGTGACCACCTCAGTAGTTGAGTTTCTTAGGACAAGTCTCCTCTGTTTAGCGGTACCGCTGGGCTCCTAGGAGGGGCAGCTGAGTGCTGTGTCAAAGCCCTGTAGGGGCCCAGGGCTGGCAGCCCCAAATATGGCATATTGATAATTTTGAATGAAAGTCTTAAAAAGCAGCCTGTGCAAGGACACTTTGACCCTCCTTTTCGCTTAAATGCAGGAAATCAATCAATCCCCTCCCTGCACCTGGAGCCTGAGGGAGATGTCCTCATCACCAGCCCCAGGGGATTCAGGGCAGGAAAGTCTGTATAAACCAACCTGGGTCCCTTTTTTGCTAATTGACAACTCCAAACACAAATTCTGCTTAAATTCCTTACTGATTCAGCACCCAAATCAAATCTGTCCAATAGCACATTTATTGTTTTCTGCAAAAAGATATAAAACCTGCCCACTTCAAACTGTTTTTTTCTCCTGTTAATGTTTTGTGTTAATTTCATTATTTGGGCCATGAGCACTGAAGGAAGGTAAAGGGAGAATTTCCCTGTCCTGGACACCCGTCCTGGCCCTCTTGGCCCCAGCAGCTTCGTGGGCCAGCAACGTGCCCACAGGACTGGTTGCCGAGTAAGAGGAAGGGTGCCCCCATTACTGGCTCATTGGTTCTTAGTGTCCCCCAGGATGGGAATCAAGGGAGACAACAAACGGAAGGAGAAAATAAAAGCTTCCTAGCTTGTGCACAGGGGAGGCACAAGGGAGCCGGTGCAGAAAGGAAAGGGCAGGTGACCAGCTTCTTAGGCAGCAGGACTATGGGGCAAAGGCTGGCAGGAGCGCCTTGCCATGGCATGTAGAGAGGGGGTGGTGCATGTGTCACGTAGCATGCCACCACATGCGACGCACGGATCATTAGCATGCTAGCGCTCCACCCCTGGGGGGATTTTTCCTATGCGAATGGGGCTAGGGTCACCTTCAGTGCACTCCTGGGTGCTGGGGCGCATGCGTGAGCCCAGGAAAGCCCCAAGGCAGCAGAATGTGGATCTCGGTGGCCTCTCTCTGATTTCCCTAGCTTGCCAATTGGTCAGGGGCCTTATCCTGTTAGGCCAGGGGCCTTGCAGATGGCCCTATCTCCTTAGGCTGGTTCCTAAGAGACTGGGGACTCGAGGCCCCTTCTTTCCTGGGGTGCAGGGGGATGATGTATAACAAAATCTGGGGCTACTGAGGTTGGGGGCAAGGAGTGGAGGGCAGCCAGGAAGGCCGGGGTGTCCCAGAAAAGCCACCTTTCCAAGGAGTGGCCACGGGCTGAGACTCAATTAGTGCCAGGAGGTCTTAGCCTAGGGTCGTGGGGTGGGTGCTCTGGGGGTGGCTCTCGCATGGGACCCGGGGCTGGGAGAGCAGGACACTCAGCGATGGGGTCCCGCGCCCTGGGGTGGGTGCAGGATTCAGGGCGCAGTGGATACCAGCAGCAGCAGCAGCAGCAGTAGCAGCCCTGGAGGCAGCGACAGCGACAGCAAGCCAGCAGCTGGCCCGGCGGGCGCAGCGGCAGTGGGAGCGGCCGGGGGCGACAGGTCGCAGGCCTTGTAGGGCTCTAGACAGGCGGCGAAGGCCATGACGTGCGCCACGAAGGTCTGCTCCTGCACGCCGTGCACCAGGTGCGCCTGCGGGCCGCGCGCGAACACCGCCACGTCCTCGCCGCCGTGGGTCTCCGACGACAGGGGCACGGCCGCCTGCTGCTTGTACGCGGGGTCCACTGGACGGAGGGTGGGGGCTCAGCGCGGGCGGGGCGGGCCGCCTCCTTTCTCCCGCGAGTTCCCATCGTGGTCCGCCCAGACCGCCGACCCGCTGTACTCACTGCTCTGGCTCTCGTTGACGTCAGGCCGGGAACCACCACTGAGCACATAGCCTGGGCCATTGCCATACAGGATGGAGGTGTAGGCCTTGCCATCGGAGGCCTTGCTGGGGGCCAGCCCTGCGGGAGAGGGGCCCTGTGATCGCGCTCACCATGGCGTGTGCAGCGCCCCCTGTGTGCTAAGCCCAGGTACTTCGTGCCTGGTCACTGGCTTAATCCTCTCAAGAACCCTACAAGGCAGTTGCTGTGATGACCCCATTGGCAGATGAGGAAACTGAGGCTCAGAGCAACTTTTACCATAAATTTACCAAACGACAACTGTCACCCTCCCTGGACCCACCTAAAATGGAGCTCCCACGCAGTGTGTAGCCACCAAAAGAGAAGACGTGAGAGTGGTCAGCGGTGACAAGGGTCAGTGTGTCCTCCTCACTTGTGAGCTGGCTGGCTTTGTCAATGGCATCATCGAACATGGTGGCCTCGGTCAGCGCCAGGTAAGCGGTTCCAGCATGGTGACCATGGTCGATGCGGCCCCCTAGGGAGGACACGTGGGAGGTAGGTGATGCCCAGCCTGCCTGCCCCCCTCTGCTCAGGGAGGGGCTGCCACTCGCTCACCCTCCACGAAGAGGTAGAAGCCACTGGGGTTCCTGCTCAGCACACGCAGGGCTGCCTCGGTCATCTCCGTCAGGGATGGGTCCAGGGTGAGGTCTCGATGGGCCTCATATTGCATGTCCTCTGGCTCAAAGAGGCCTGTGGGAAAGGGGATTTGGGTGACGGGCAGGCTGGAGAGTGGCAGGGTCCATGGCAGCCACGTGTCTGTGCAGGCTTGGCCATGTGAGGACCCAGGGGTCCAGGGCAGGCTGGTGGGGTGGGTGGGATCATTACCCATGAGGTGTGTCACAGAGGGGTCCTGGGACGCCTGGATGAGCGCCGTGCGGTTCCACACATACTGGGCACCCTGGGAGGGGCAGAACCAGACCTCAGCCCGTGGCCCTACGACCTGCAGCCCTGCCCTTGTCCCTGCTACCCCTGCACCCACGAGCCCCCATCACCTGGTACTTGGCCAGCCACTCCTGCACCAGGTTCCGCTGGTCCACCCTGGTTCCGTTCTGGCTGGCATCATTCGGATACTCAGGGTCTGGGGTCCCCTTGGGAAACATGTACTTGCGGCCTCCGCCCAGGATCACCTGGGGCCAGAGGATTAGGGCAGGTGGGCTTGTGGCCTGGCTGGCCCTTGGCCCCCTCCTCAGACATCCCCTAGCTCCCCAACCAGGCCTGTGGGAATGGTCTGTCCCCTGCTATACATTCTAAATGGTCCACAAGCCCCTGGAGACCCTGCTGGGCCCCAGGGCTCAGCTGTTGGCTGCCTGCGACTGTGGCCAGTGTGGGCCCATCCCTTCTGCCCCGTTCCTCGCCCTCGCCATGTGTCGCACATCAATGTCCATGTTGGAGATGAGCTGCGTGGCGATGTCCTGGCAGCCCTCCTTCAGCGCCTCGTCAGGCATGTCAGCGTCCGAGTACCAGTTGCGGTTCACCGTGTGCGCGTAGGTGCCGGCTGGCGACGCATGCTGTACCCTGGTGGTGGTCACCACCCCCACTGACTTCCCTGTGGGTGGCAGAGGTGAGGGTGGACCACTGAGGTCTCTGAGCCTTCCCCGGCCCCTGCCCCATATGCCGGCCCCAAACCCACCTGCTTTCTTGGCTCGATTCATCACGGAGGTGACCTCATTGCCACGCGTCGTGTTGCACTGGTTATAGCGGGCGGCCGCACTCACACCGATGGTCTGGTAGTTGGCCTTGACCCCGCACAGGTAGGCCGTGGCTGTGCCTGCGCTGTCCGGCACTTGTCTGTCCACGTTGTATGTCTGGGAACAGAGATGCCTTCAGCTCCAGTCTGGGGCAGACACCTGGATCGTGCCTCAGGACCTGGGGCCCATCCTCACTGTCCCAGCCCCTAACTCAGGCACAACCCTCTGGGGCCTTCCCTCCTGCCTGGCTCCCTACTCACCCACCCCTCTGGAGGGAAGCTCCCTGAGGCCCCGGGCCCTTACCTTGGACAGAGCCAGGTAGGGGAAGTGGTCCATGGCCAGGGGCGTCTCGGGTCCCAGCTTGCCATCCATCTGCGCCTTCAGTATCCGAGTGGCTGTCACCGTGGGCACCCCCATCCCTGAAGGAGCACCTCGTGTCAGGCCTGAGTCCCCAAGGCTGACCTGTGTCCACACAGCTGCCTTGGGTGGCTGGGTTGTGGGGGTTACTTGGGAGGGACAGGCCTGGCACACTCACCGTCCCCCAAGAAGATAATGAGGTTCTTGGCGGCCGTCTGGATGGGCTGCAGCTTCTTAGCGGTGTCCAGGGCTTGGGCTGCCTGGCGGTTCCAGAAGGCCGGGTCCTCCTCCTCAACTGGCCAAGGAGACAGTGGAGGCTGGGTCAGCCTTGCGGGGGAGCACCCTGAGTTTCGGGGGAGGCTGGGAGGGCCTGATTACCTGGGATGACCCCAAGGGAGAGCCGTAGCCTCAGGCCAAGCAGCAGCAACAGCACCCAGGCTCCCCGCATGCCTGTGGGATGGCGGGAGGACAGCGAGGCTGGGAGTCGGGAGACACGGGACACCAGGGTACCAGTTGCACTACAAGCTGCCTGGGCTGAAAGCAGGGGAGGACTTCTCCCTGTCTGTAAAAGGCTCCCTGTCCCTCCCAGTGCCCCAGGCAGCCACCTTGACCCCACCCCTGCCTTGTGACTTTAAGCTATGAGGCAGAAGGGAAGTGGCAGGGTGTGGCTGAGCGAGCCTCAGGGCAGGGGTCCTGAGAAAGGCAGGTCCACCCCTCACAGCAGAGTCCCCAGGGTAAAGTGGGAATTATGGGGCACAAGGCCTTGGGTGAGGAGCATTTGCAAAGTTCTGCCGGGGCCACTCCCAACCCTCTGCTCCCGCAGTGTGGGTGACCCTCCCTCTTCTCACCTGATTTGTTCAGTATTTCCTGAGAGCCAGCAGTGGCCAGCCTGGACTCTGGGTGCTGAGGGGCCTGGGTCTGAAGCCACATGGCTTCTCACTAGGCTTGGCCTGGGCAGGTGGGTCATGCACTGGGCTGGAGTGGCTGCCCAGAACCTGGGCACAGTGTTCTTATGCTGTGGAAATGGGTATGGCTGATGGTGACAGCAGAGTCGGGCCTCGTCTGTCTCTCCAATGTTGGAGGGCTGGGCTGGGCCAGCCAGCCTGGGTTCAAAAGCATTCCTCCAATCCAGCCATTGCATTCCTGGGTATATACTCAAAGAAATGAAATGAAATGAAGCTGGGCCTCAAAGTGGTATTTGCATACCCACATTCATAGCAGCATTATTCACAATAGTCATAAGGTGTGAGCAATTCAACTGTCCATCCACAGACGAATGGATCAACAAAGTGAGGCACATCTGTACAATGGAATATTATTCAGCCTTAAAAAGGAAGGAATTCTGACACACGCTACAACATGGATGAGCCATGAGGATGTGATGCTAAGTGAAATAAGCCAGTCCCCAAAACACAAACACCGAGATTCTATCTATGTGAGGTATCTAAAGTGGTCACATGCATAGAAGTAGAAAGTCGAACGGTGGTTGCCGGGGCCAGGGAGAAGGGCACGTGGGGAGCTGTTGTTGAGTGGGTTTAGAGTTTTGGTTTTACCAGCTGAAAAAGTTTTGGAGATCTGTCTTCCAACAATGTGAATATACTTACCCCTACTGTAGGAAACTGTACACTTAAAAATGGTTAAGATGCTCAATTTTATATTGTAGTTTTTATGACAATTTAAAATTTTTTTCAAAGAAAAGACACCTTGCTCCCTGCTCTGCCCACCTCAGTGGACCACAGTAACCCGTTCTGTGCTCGGACCTCCTCACCACCTGAGCCAAGGGTTTGGTCCCCCAAACCAGTGGGACTGCACCAGCCACCAGCATCCCCCTGCCCAGCCTCACTCCCCACCATGCCATCCCCTCAGGCAGCGTGTTCCTGGGTCCTCCTCCCTCTATGGAAAACATATCCCCTCCAAGAATCCTTCCTGGCCTCTGTCAAACACCCCCATAGCTCCCTCTACCCCCTGCATCGTCTTGCTATGCAGGGAAATTCTTGGCTGAAAGAATTGGCAGGCAGGCCCTAATTGATTAATTGATTCTTTTTACCAGGTGGTAGGTGAAAGGCTTGTTACTCCAAGATCAGCCCGCAGTCCAGTGAATTCCCAGTCCCTCTTTCTAATTGTGTCAAAACTGACTATAGTGGCACCATTTAAAAATGGAGTCCGAGGGCCAGCCTGGTGGCATAGCGGTTAAGTTCGCGCACTTTGCTTTGGCAGCCCAGGGCTCACCAGTTTGGATCCTGGGCGTGGACCTACACACTGCTCATCAAGCCATGCTGTGGCAGCCTCCCACATATAAAATAGAGGAAGATGTGCACAGATGTTAGTTCCGGGCCAATCTTCCTCAGCCAAAAGAGGAGGATTGGTAGTGGATGTTAGCTCAGGGCTAATCTTCCTCAAAAAAAGATAAATAAAAAAATAAATGGAGCCAGAGCTGCTTTCCAGAGCAACTGTTTAACTGTTTTGCTCTCTTGAGCCTTGCACCGAGAGGGAGGTGTCATGCTGGCTGATAATGAGGGACTTGCAAATCTGCTGAGCAAAGAAAGGGCCAGAACAGGATACCAGGATCTGGAAAACTCCCCATTGAGGGCAGATGCTGCCCTCACGGTCTGGGACAGGGGGCGGCTGCTTCCTCCCTGAGGGGCAGCTCAGGAGACACAGCACTGGTTCCCGGGCCCCGAGCCAAGCGCATCAGTGCAGATGGGGCGTCCCCAGTGGCAAGGTGACACGTAAGGGGACTGGGGCTGCTTCTCTTCTGGCTGCAGCTGTGTGCCCAGAGAGCACACGCAGAAGCTCTGTTTATTGCAGTAAGCAGGCCCTGGGCCCCTCAGATCAGGGGGTGCAATTTATACCCCTGCCCAGCTTCCCACAGGCTTCTGGAGGCTCCATCCACTGGGAGGCAGGGATGTGGGAGGCATCGGGGAAGGGGCAAACACCTGTCACACAGAGGCTGACCAGGTGGGGAGAGCTGTTTCTGGAACCAGGGGGGCTGATGGCATCAGACGGTAACGTCAGCCCCGAGGTCAGGACGAGGACACGTCTGGCATCTTGTGGTCCCCAGAGGCCGCTGCCTGTTTTTACCCATCATGATGTTCCCTGTGTCAGCCTCCTGAGCCTGCCGGGCTTGGTGCAGGGACACTCGCTCCAGGGGCTCCATGAGCAGGGGGCTCCGGGTCTGGCTGCAGCTGGACCTGGGGCGCCCTCCAGGGGCAGGCAGGGGCACTATAAGAGGGGAACCACCACTGTTTCTATTTAAAATCTAGCTCCATGCTGCTGCCTTCACCCCCTCAGCTGGCACCCACCCACCTGGGGGAGGAGAATGTGGTGCCCCAGGCAAGGGGTTGACGCAGCCCCCGCCCCATTCCCCCACTTCCAGTGGATTGTGACGTGTTAGAGCTTAGTGTGTCTGGCTAAGGGGATTCACAGATTATAGGATCTAGTTTTAAACAAAGTAATTCTCCAAAAGGATCAAGTGGCTTACAAAAGATTCCTGTAAAGAAACTGCAAATAATACCAATAAGCCACACCCAGGTGAGGAACCACCGAAGTGGCGGCTCTGACGCTCAGTCCTGATCTGTGCTCGTTGTCACCCATGGGACAGACTTGACAAGAAGTTAGTCTCAAATATAAAAAAAAAAAAAATGTGTGTGAAGTACCCCTACCCCATCAGTCAGTAACAGCGGGAAATCCTCACGGTTAACAAGGCATCTAAAAACTCAGCTATCAAAACAGGAGACAAAACCCTGCCATTTTTTCCCAGCGATGCTTAAGTTATATGCTGTTCAACCCAGCACTTTTGCTATTTCCCTAAGCAACAATAAATATTTGGAAAGCTCTCTTAAAGTTTCTCGCATGATTGCATAAGAGAAACACACCTACCACCAGGCAAACACTTCTTCTTTCTGCTGCAGTAAAAATGGCAGAAACAATGAATAGAATCATCTGTCGACAAACCGAGAGAGGCATTTCTTTGTCAGCAAATACTGTTGGGAGACGTAGAGAAAGCAGCGCCGTGGACTGGAAGGAAGTGTTGGAGCGAGTGCCCAGTGGGGGAGGTTTGCTGGACAGTTGGCTAGAGTACAGATGTTCCTGCACATCTCGGCTTAAGGTATTTGCTGGATTCTGTTTCAATGGTGAAATACACAAGCCACTTTGTCTGTGTGTGTGTGAGAGGGGCTCTAAAGGAAAGATATAGCAGAGAAGATATATTCCCACCAGTAAATGCTTTGTTTCATAAAAGCAATTCCACGTGGGGAAAACAGTGTAGGTGCTCCCATGGATGGAACAGCTCCTCAGAAGGGACTTTGTTTAAAGGATCCTGGATGTGGAAAAGGTGCAGATGGAGCAATGTTACTGTGCCCTAAGGGATCAGTGGCCCCCAAGTGGGTGCTTTTGCCCAGAGCCGGTCACACCAATAAAAGGAGACCGGGTTCAGAATAGCAGAGCAGAAACGTTATTCATTGATCAATGAATGGAGGCCTAAAACACCTTCTCGTGGAAGGGAAGGTGAGCAGAGTTCTCATGGGATGTGAAGGGGGCAGGGTCTCCGTGGCACGGCTTGGGGCAGGGGCGCTGGGGCACGCGCAGATCTTCCCTTCTTGCACACAGCACCTTTTGCACAAGTTTCCCCTTGCACACGGCACCCCATCGCCAACTTGGACCTTTCCGGTGTGGACCAGTTCTGCAGTTTGGCCATCTGACAATGTTCTGCTTTTGTTCCTATAAGTAAGCACAACTTAAAAGCCAAGTATTAGATGTGGAAAATGTTTTAGGGATTTCTCTGGGTGTCAGCAACACCTGCAAAGCTCACTCATTGGCCCATCCCCAGTCAAACCACTGCAGGAAAGAACTGGAAGCCTCAAGGGCACATAAAATGCTGTCGGAGCCATCAGTGGTGTTAACCATAAAACCAAGATATCCTAATAGAGTGGAAACTTTTTGATACTTGGTAATAAGATTGCGCAGAAGCATGAAACCTCTCCTGATCACACAGACGAGTCATCTTATGAGAAGGGATTTCAGGGCTGCCCTGAGTTCTCCTGCCCTCTTTCTTCCCAACTTCCCTCCTTCGTAAAGACCAAGGTGCCGACAGTCCTTAAGGGGACAAGAGCTATCATTCGCAGGCACTCTGTAAAAAGCTTGAAAAGATAAATGCTTTTTCCGTGCATCAGCCCCGTCTAAGTAAAGATGTTTAAACAGATGTTTGACAATATTTCCACAGACAGGTGATTTTGTGGCCAAAAATGTGTCTGACCCACAGAACCCCTCATAACCAGATTTAAAAAAACTTGGAAGCAAACTGTTTTTTAACATTTAGATATAATTTACACACCATAATATTTATCCTTTCAATGCAATTCAATGTCTTTTAGAATATTCAAAGTTGTGCAACCATCACTGCTAATTCCAGAATAATCTGCTTTTAAAACCTGTAGAGTTTAAAATGTAGCATTTCCTTAGGTTTCAAACCCTTTCATGAAATGTGAACAAGCAGCAGCTTCCCATATGATGGAAGGGCAACTAACCGCAACAGGAAGACAGAACTATAGTAGCTGGATTTTAACAAAAGCCTGTGCGTCACTGGTGGACGGAGCTAGCAATGAGGAGGAAGGGTCATCAAGCCCAGCTAAGGACGCCTTCTCCCGTCGGCTCCCATGGGTCTGTGACAGCCACTGAAATCCAGAATGAAATAAACGGCCCCGAGAGCCAGGCCTTCAAAGTGATGTTTCACAGTGTTCAATCAAGACTATACTAAATAAGAAAGCACACCCAGGGCCGGCCCTGCGTGGTTAAGTTTGTGCACTCTGCTTCGGCGGTTGGCGTTTGCCGGTTCGGATCCTGGGTGCAGACCTACACAGCTCATGAAGCTATGCTGCGGATGTGTCCCACACACAAAGTAGAGGAAGACTGGCACAGATGTTAGCTCAGGGACAATCTTCCCCACCAAAACAAATATACATATGTAAAAAAAAAAAAAAGAAAGCACACTCAATCATATTAATATTTCTAGTGAGAGCAAAGTGCCTTCTGGCACTTTTTAATTGTGCAAATAATTTGTAATTTTATAAAACTTTATCAAAAAATATGGTTGATTTCCCCTCCCTAGAATCCTTTTAAACGTCCCCTTTGGGTGGGTGAGAGACTCACTAAGTGTAGCCGTGTTGGAGTGGGGGCTCCAGAATGTTCCCGGATGCAGCTGGGGGTCTGCACCACCACTCTAGGTTCCCAGCTCCCACCTCTGCCCCCCTCCCTCCATCAAAGCAGAATAGACTCTTCTCCCCTCAGTGGTCAGAGTGCTATTTTCCAAAAGTCAGGTCATGTCAGGCCCCTGCTCAAAGTCTCTGATCACATTCCACACTCTGGAACCGTCCCAGCTCCTCCCCCATCTGCTCCCTGTCCCTCCTTATCCCTCAGGTTTTACCTCCTGTACCCCACCCCGCCCAACTCTGATCCAGCTGCTGGCCTGCAACACCAGTGCTGCTTGCTGCCTCAGGGCCCTTGCATGGCTGTTCCTTCTGCGTTGTCAAGCCCTCAGGGAGAGGGCAGGGGCTGCCCTGGGGCTGCCTGCCCTGCCCCCACAGCTTCTCCTGATGCTCCTCGGATCTCCAGCCTGGAGTGGGAGTGGGGGGCAGTGACCACCTCAGTAGTTGAGTTTCTTAGGACAAGTCTCCTCTGTTTAGCGGTACCGCTGGGCTCCTAGGAGGGGCAGCTGAGTGCTGTGTCAAAGCCCTGTAGGGGCCCAGGGCTGGCAGCCCCAAATATGGCATATTGATAATTTTGAATGAAAGTCTTAAAAAGCAGCCTGTGCAAGGACACTTTGACCCTCCTTTTCGCTTAAATGCAGGAAATCAATCAATCCCCTCCCTGCACCTGGAGCCTGAGGGAGATGTCCTCATCACCAGCCCCAGGGGATTCAGGGCAGGAAAGTCTGTATAAACCAACCTGGGTCCCTTTTTTGCTAATTGACAACTCCAAACACAAATTCTGCTTAAATTCCTTACTGATTCAGCACCCAAATCAAATCTGTCCAATCGTACATTTATTGTTTTGTGTAAAAAGATATAAAAGCTGCCCACTTTCTGGTCACTCTCCTGTGCATACAAATTGTTTTGTCTCCTGTTAATTCGTTTTGTGTTAATTTCATTATTTTGCCCATGAGAATTCAAGAAAGGCAAAGGGAAAACTGCCCGGTCCTGGACACCTGACCTGGACACCCGTCCTGGCCCTCTTGGCCCCAGCAGCTTCGTGGGCCAGCAATGTGCCCACAGGGCCGGTTGCAGAGTAACAGGAAAGGTGCCCTCACCGTGCCCTCAGGTCCAAGGTGCTGTGAAGACTAAGCCAAGAAAAGCGTGGCAGGGGGTCTGGGTGGGTGGTGGCCCTACAGAGGCTGCCTCTGGATGGTGCCAGCCAGGTCCTGGGGCACTGATATATGCAGGGCGGAGACTGGGAGTCCGAGGCCCCTTCTTTCCTGGGGTGCAGGGTGATGGCACAGCACAAAATCTGGGGCCTCGGAGATTGAGGGCGGGGAGTGGAGAGCAGCTGGGAGGTCTCAGGAAAGTCACCACCTCGGCCTCCAGGGCACCATGCAGTCAGGCCAATGAGTGGCCATGGGCTGAGCCTCGTTTAAAGCCAGGAGGTGAAGGTCAGGCGGTAGGCCCCCGGGGTGGGTGCTCTGGGGGTGTTGCTCAGAAGGGACCCTGGGCTGGGGGAGCAGGTGTCCTAGTAATGGGGTCCCGGCCCTGGGTGGATGGGGTGGTCAGTGGGTGGCGGACAGCAGCAGTAGCAGCGCTCCAACCAGAAGCTGCAGCGATAGTGAGCCAGCAGCCGGCCTGGGGAGCGCAGCATCAGTGAGCCCGGGATTTGTACTGTCGGTGGATGTGGCGGGGGGCGACAGGTCGCAGGCCGTGTAGGGCTCGAGGCAGGCGGCGAAGGCCATGACGTGCGCCACGAAGGTCTGCTCCTGCACGCCGTGCACCAGGTGCGCCTGCGGGCCGCGCGCGAACACCGCCACGTCCTCGCCGCCGTGGGTCTCCGACGACAGGGGCACGGCCGCCTGCTGCTTGTACGCGGGGTCCACTGGACGGAGGGTAGGGGCTCAGCGCGGGCGGGGCGGGCCGCCTCCTCCCTCCCGCGAGTTCCCATCGTGGTCCGCCCAGACCGCCGACCCGCTGTACTCACTGCTCTGGCTCTCGTTGACGTCAGGCCGGGAGCCCTGGCTGAGTGCGAAGCCTGGGCCATTGCCATACAGGATGGAGGTGTAGGCCTTGCCATCGGAGGCCTTGCTGGGGGCCAGCCCTGCGGGAGAGGGGCCCTGTGATAGCGCTCACCACGGCGTGTGCAGCGCCCCCTGTGTGCTAAGACCAGGTACTTCGTGCCAAGAACCCTACAAGGCAGTTGCTGTGATGACCCCATTGGCAGATGAGGAAACTGAGGCTCAGAGCAACTTCTACCATAAATTTACCAAACGGCAACTGTCACCCTCCCTGGACCCACCTAAAATGGAGCTGCCACGCAGTGTGTAGCCACCAAAAGAGAAGACGTGAGAGTGGTCAGCGGTGACAAGGATCAGTGTGTCCTCCTCACTTGTGAGTTGGCTGGCTTTGTCAATGGCATCATCGAACATGGTGGCCTCGGTCAGTGCCAGGTAAGCGGTTCCAGCATGGTGACCATGGTCGATGCGGCCCCCTAGGGAGGACACGTGGGAGGTAGGTGATGCCCAGCCTGCCTACCCCCCTCTGCTCAGGGAGGGGCTGCCACTCACTCACCCTCCACGAAGAGGTAGAAGCCACTGGGGTTCCTGCTCAGCACACGCAGGGCCGCCTCGGTCATCTCCGTCAGGGATGGGTCCAGGGTGAGGTCTCGCTGGGCCTCATATTTCATGTCCGCTGGCTCAAAGAGGCCTGTGGGAAAGGGGATTTGGGTGACGGGCAGGCTGGAGAGTGGCAGGGTCCATGGCAGCCACGTGTCTGTGCAGGCTTGGCCATGTGAGGACCCAGGGGTCCAGGGCAGGCTGGTGGGGTGGGTGGGGTCATTACCCATGAGGTGTGTCACAGAGGGGTCCTGGGACGCCTGGATGAGCGCCGTGCGGTTCCACACATACTGGGCACCCTGGGAGGGGCAGAACCAGACCTCAGCCCGTGGCCCTACGACCTGCAGCCCTGCCCTTGTCCCTGCTACCCCTGCACCCACGAGCCCCCATCACCTGGTACTTGGCCAGCCACTCCTGCACCAGGTTCCGCTGGTCCACCCTGGTTCCGTTCTGGCTGGCATCATTCGGATACTCAGGGTCTGGGGTCCCCTTGGGAAACATGTACTTGCGGCCTCCGCCCAGGATCACCTGGGGCCAGAGGATTAGGGCAGGTGGGCTTGGGGCCTGGCCGGGCCTTGGCCCCCTCCTCAGACAGCCCCTAGCTCCCCAACCAGGTCTGTGGGAATGGTCTGTCCCCTGCTATACATTCTAAATGGTCCACAAGCCCCCGGAGACCCTGCTGGGCCCCAGGGCTCAGCTGTTGGCTGCCTGCGACTGTGGCCAGTGTGGGCCCATCCCTTCTGCCCCGCCCCTCCCGCTTGACATGTGTCGCACATCAATGTCCATGTTGGAGATGAGCTGCGTGGCGATGTCCTGGCAGCCCTCCTTCAGCGCCTCGTCAGGCATGTCAGCGTCCGAGTACCAGCTGCGGTTCACCGTGTGTGCGTAGGTGCCGGCTGGCGACGCATGCTGTACCCTGGTGGTGGTCACCACCCCCACTGACTTCCCTGTGGGTGGCAGAGGTGAGGGTGGACCACTGAGGTCTCTGAGCCTTCCCTGGCCCCTGCCCCATATGCCGGCCCCAAACCCACCTGCTTTCTTGGCTCGATTCATCACGGAGGTGACCTCATTGCCACGCGTCGTGTTGCACTGGTTATAGCGGGCGGCCGCACTCACACCGATGGTCTGGTAGTTGGCCTTGACCCCGCACAGGTAGGCCGTGGCTGTGCCTGCGCTGTCCGGCACTTGTCTGTCCACGTTGTATGTCTGGGAACAGAGATGCCCTCAGCTCCAGTCTGGGGCAGACACCTGGATCGTGCCTCAGGACCTGGGGCCCATCCTCACTGTCCCAGCCCCTAACTCGGGCACAACCCTCTGGGGCCTTCCCTCCTGCCTGGCTCCCTACTCACCCACCCCTCTAGAGGGAAGCTCCCTGAGGCCCCAGACCCTTACCTTGGACAGAGCCAGGTAGGGGAAGTGGTCCATGGCCAGGGGCGTCTCGGGTCCCAGCTTGCCATCCATCTGTGCCTTCAGTATCCGAGTGGCTGTCACCGTGGGCACCCCCATCCCTGAAGGAGCACCTCGTGTCAGGCCTGAGTCCAAGGCTGACCTGTGTCCACACAGCTGCCTTGGGTGGCCGGGTTGTGGGGGTTACTTGGGAGGGACAGGCCTGGCACACTCACCGTCCCCCAAGAAGATAATGAGGTTCTTGGCGGCCGTCTGGATGGGCTGCAGCTTCTTAGCGGTGTCCAGGGCTTGGGCTGCCTGGCGGTTCCAGAAGGCCGGGTCCTCCTCCTCAACTGGCCAAGGAGACAGTGGAGGCTGGGTCAGCCTTGCGGGGGAGCACCCTGAGTTTCGGGGGAGGCTGGGAGGGCCTGATTACCTGGGATGACCCCAAGGGAGAGCCGTAACCTCAGGCCCAGCAGCAGCAACAGCACCCAGGCTCCCTGCATGCCTGTGGGATGGCGGGAGGACAGCGAGGCTGGGAGTCGGGAGACACGGGACACCAGGGTACCAGCTGCACTACAAGCTGCCTGGGCTGAAAGCAGGGGAGGACTTTGTCCTTGACTGTAAAAGGCTCCATGTCCCTCCCAGTGCCCCATGCAGCCACCCTGACCCCACCCCTGCCTTGTGACTTTAAGCTATGCTGGCAGAAGGGAAGTGGTAGGGTGTGGCTGAGCGAGCCTCAGGGCAGGGGTCCTGAGAAAGGCAGGTCCACCCCTCACAGCAGAGTCCCCAGCTGTCTCCCCAGGGTAAAGTGGGGATTGGGGGCACATGCCCTTGGGTCAGGAGCATTTCCAAAGTTCTGACGGGGCCACTCCCAACCCTCTGCTGCCGCAGTGTGGGCGACCCTCCGTCTCTCACCTGAGTTGTTCAGTATTTCCTGAGAGCCAGCAGTGGCCAGCCTGGACTCTGGGTGCTGAGGGGCCTGGGTCTGAAGCCACATGACTGCTCACTAGGCTTGGCCTGGGCAGGTGGGTCATGCACTGGGCTGGAGTGGCTGCCCAGAACCTGGGCCCAGGGTTTTTGTGCTGTAGAAAAGAGTGTGGCTGGTGGTGACAACAGAGTGGTAGGCCTTGTCAGTGCCTCCAATGATGGAGGGCTGGGCTGGGCCAGCCTTGAGAGTGTGTGTGTGTGGATGTGTCTGTGTGGGGGATGATGCGGGGTCGGTGAGCCGAGGAGTCGAAAGAAAGATTTCTTAGACTCTTAAGATCTGGCAGTAGTGCTCTTTTATTTACAGAATACAATAGCATGGGGATAGGACCCATGGGCAGTCAGAGCTTCTGCTGCCGCCGCTTCTGCTGCCTCCGCTGGCATGGGGACAGGGCCCATGGGCAGGCAGAGCTGGTGCGTGGGGACAGGAACCATGGGCAGTCAGAGCTCCTGCTGCTGCCCCGAGTTGAGGGTTAGGGCTAATTTTATAAGGCATGGGTATGTGAGTCATTTCTTTACAAGATAAAGGAAAGAACATGAAAAAAAGTTAAAATGGTATCAGTGCAGGTGGGGTCTGGTCGTTGGGTGATCCCATGACTTTTAGACAAGAATCAAATCGGATTAAGTAAAGGTCAGAAGCCACCACCCTAAATCAGTTACATGAGATTGCCAGACAGCAACCAACTTAAGTTCTTGCCTTCCCCATTAAGAGTTTCTAGAGATAAGGTCATCTCTCTTCTTCTTCCTGGTACAGAGAGGGAGCTACCTTTTACAGATAGAGATTTACCTTACAAATGTAAATGTGTCCCAACAAGGGCAAGTTCCATTCCCCAGAGCCTCCTTCCCTGTCCCAGTTTATCGAAAGCAATCAGCCCAAACAGTCCCGATGCCAAAGAGACACATCCTGGGGTGGCCAATTTCAGGTCCCTACAAGGTCATCCCCCCTTCCTTCACAAACACAAATGTCTCTCAAAAGGGCAAGCAAAATTCCAGTCCTCGGAGCCTGCTTCTCATCTGCAGTTTTAAAAATAACCAGCCTAAAATCCTCTTCAGGGGAGAGTATGCTCGCCTGCAAGGGGCAGGCAGGGGTGGGGCCCAGTGCCCATGAGATTGACCTCTGCTCCCTTGGACAGGTAGATTGAACCCAGGGGTAAGTTTGTCCCTTGGATAGGTAGACAGAACCCCAGCTATGGCTCCTGACAGGAGCTTAGAAGTTTCAGTAGCCCCTGCCTTGATTCAAAAGCATTCGTCTAATCCAGCCATTGCATTTCTGGGTATGTACCCAAAGGAAATGACGCTGGGTCTCGAAGTGGTATTTGCATACCCACATTCATAGCAGCATTATTCACAATAGTCATAAGGTGCGAGCAATTCAACTGTCCATCCACAGACGAATGAATCAACAAAGTGAGGCACATCTGTACAATGGAATATTATTCAGCCTTAAAAAGGAAGGAATTCTGACACACGCTACAACATGGATGAGCCATGAGGACGTGATGCTAAGTGAAATAAGCCAGTCCCCAAAACGCAAACACCGAGATTCTATCTATGTGAGGTATCTAAAGTGGTCACATGCATAGAAGTAGGGAGTCGAACGGTGGTTGCCGGGGCCGGGGAGGAGGGCACGTGGGGAGCTGTTGTTGAGTGGGTTTAGAGTTTTGGTTTTACCAGCTGAAAAAGTTTTGGAGATCTGCCGACGACAATGTGAATATACTTACCCCTACTGTAGGAAACTGTACACTTAAAAATGGTTAAGATGCTCAATTTTATAGTCTTTGACTACAACTTAAAATTCTTTTCAAAGAAAATTCCTCTTCCCAGCTTTGCGCACTCCAGTGGGCCTCAGTAGCCCTTTCTGTGCTGGGGCGTCCTCACCACCTGTGCCACTTGCTGGGTCCCCAAAACCAGGGCAACAGCATCTTCCCTCCCAGCCTCACTCCCCACCATGCCATCCCCTCAGGGTGTTCCTGGGTCCTCCTCCCTGTATGGAAAACACGTCCCCTCCAGGAATCTGTCCTGGCCTCTGTCAAAGCCCCGCACAGCTCCCTCTAACCCCTGCGTTGTGTGGCTCTGCAGGGAAATTCTTGGCTAAAAGTCAGGGCAGAGTAATTGCCTGGCAGGCCCTTAATCAATCGATTCTTTTTACCAGGTTGAAGGTGAAAGGTTCTTTACTCCAAGATCGGTCTTCAGTACAGGGAATTCCCAGCACCCCTTTTTAAATGCATCAAAATTGACTATAGTGGAGCCGTTTAAAGATGGAGTCGGACCTGCCTTCCCAGAGAAACTGCTTTGCTGTCTTGAACCTTGGACTGGGCCAAACCTTTGCCCTGGGCCAAAACGGCAATTATTTACAAGCAATTGTTTGAGAAGTCAGCAAAAGAACAGACATCCTGATCACAAAGACTGAGGATTGTAGAGTTTCTGAAGATAGAACCAAGAGTCAATCAATGTTTAGCCAAAAACCAGCTCTTTGCCTCCAACTCCAATTAAAATTCTTTGCAATATAACCTCCTTTCTTTGCCTTTAAAGCCCCTGACTTTTACTCCCTAGTGGGACACTATCTGGGTTTCGATCTGAATCTCTGTTTCCCGAATTGCAATTCTTAGATCCCAAATAAACACTTTGCCTCTTAAACTGGTTTCTGTTTTGTGTGTGTGTGTGAGGAAGGTTGGCCCTGAGCTACCATTTGTGCCAATCTTCCACTTTTTGCTTGAGGAAGACTGTCGCTGAGCTAACATCTGTGCCAGTCCTCCTCTACTTTATATAAGGGACTGCCGCAGCATGGTTTGATGAGCAGTGTGTAGGTCCGAAACTGAACCCCGGGCCACTGAAGCCGAGTGGGCGAACTTAACCACGACACCACTGGGCCAGTCCCTGGTTTCTGTTTTTGAAGGTTGACATACTGTGTCAGAAAGCAGGAGCTGAAGTGATCTCACCTTCGAGGACCAGCATCCCCTGTAAACAGGTTTGGTACCAACATGAGCGCCCTTGTGTGCTCATCTCTTCCACATACCACCAGCTCCTCCAATCATGAGTCCTCTCAGGCTTGGACCTCCCTCCCTTTTGGTTGAGCTCTTTGCCTTTCTTTGGGATTCTGGGGGCAATAGCCCAATCTGGGTCAAATGACCAGGAGACAGTTGTCGCCAAGCTGGCTCATATCTACTGCCATCTGGAAGAGTTTCCCTGTTTGAGCAGCTATGGTTATTGCCATCTGAGGGTTTATTCCCTATCTCTTGAGTCCTTGAATTCTGTTTTTTTGTATTGTTTGTCCAAACAGCTGTACCCAGTGAGTCAGAAGCACAGATAACAACCTGGGGCTTACAACTAGTGTCTCCTTGTCTCTCTGTCTCTTTGTCTGGTCGTTCTTTAACCTGGGAATGTCATCTTCTAAAAGGTCCTGAGAAGTTCCTCCCTCAAGAACACCAGTTGGGTTTATATTCAAGCACTACGGTCCTTCCTATTGTAAATTTTTGTCCCAGAGGATTGATAATACTAAAGATGATTTAAAATTACAGTGGTCAATTTGGAGTTCTTTTGAGCTTCCAAAACTTGTCTTTTCTGCACACTAGACTTGAGAACCACAGGTTTAAGACCAGATATAAGATCTTTAATTTCTTTTTATTTTTTATTTTATTTTATTTATTTTTTTTGAGGAAGATTAGCCCTGAGCTAACTGCTGCCAATCCTCCCCTTTTTGCTGAGGAAGACTGGCTCTGAGCTAACATCCATGCCCGTCTTCCTCTACTTTATATGTGGGACACCTACCACAGCATGGCTTGCCAAGCGGTGCCATGTCTGCACCCGGAATCCAAACCGGCGAACCCCGGGCTGTTGAAGCGGAACATGCACACTTAACCACTGCCCCACCAGGCTGGCCCCAGATCTTTAATTTCTAAAGATTCAAGCCCACTATCTTTCAGCACACCTGCTAAAAAATGATGGTCCGGAAGCTGTAAATATTTACAGAGAACATCAAAATCTTTTTTTTTTTTTTTAAAGATTTTATTTTTTTTTTCCTTTTTCTCCCCAAAGCCCCCGGTACATAGTTGTGTATTCTTCGTTGTGGGTTCCTCTAGTTGTGGCATGTGGGACACTGCCTCAGCGTGGTCTGACGAGCAGTGCCATGTCCACGCCCAGGATTCGAACCGACGAAACACTGGGCCGCCTGCAGCGGAGCGCGTGAACTTAACCACTCGGCCACGGGGCCAGCCCCAGAACATCAAAATCTTACTAAGCTTGTTTCTTGTCCTCAGAGCTTGGCTTGGTAACTGTCAGGTTCGGGCCCCCAAAATACGGTGGACAGGAATGTGGGTCGCACCCCCACTGGCGCCCAGATATGGCTCGGCAGAAATGGGGGATAAACTCCATTTGTAGCTAGGGTCCTACCAAACTGCTGCCAGCCCTCAGGGAGATAACAATGGCTATTGGAAGAAAGGTTTCAATGAGATAAGATCACCTATTTAAGAAGTGCACTTAAAAACAAAGGCCTCAAAATTCCAAAATAGCCTTATTGAAAATTTCATTGCAAAAATCTAATGAAAATTTAAGATCTAAGAGGTATCTAAAAGAAAAGACTATACGAAAGTCCATTAATGCCTTTACAGACACCCCCATATCTACCCATGAAGGAGGGGCTGTATGGATCCCTCCCAGAGTTAAGAAGACTCTCAGAGATTTTCTGGTAAACTGCTGTGTTACTCCCTTAAACAGTCAAGGGGAAACTAAAATTAAAAATTAATGGAGTTGTTTAATACTGCCAGAAATATTTACTGTTTGTCCTGGCTGAAACATAAGATTTTTGAAAGAATTTAGTAACTTATAATAAGAAATTTGGCCAAATTGGAAGCTGATATTCAGAGGCTGATAGGAATTTTTTTTTTCTAGGCTTTCTCCCCTAAGCTAAAATAAAACTATGTACCCAGAGGGAAAGAAACAAATTAAGGACAATGTAATTGCATGGGCATGTCAGTCCTTGATAAGCAACTGACCTTCCCTGTTTATCTCAAAAAGCTTGTAACCTCTCCAGGAACTGTTATCTAGACCACCCCTCCCCCCCATTCCTAAGACTAAAGGGAAAAAAAAAGGGGGAAAGAAGCTTTTGGATATGCAGATTGCTATGGAAGCACCCTTGCCCAAAAAAATGTAAGGAAAAATGTAAAAACAGGGGCTATAAGAGCTCTGTTGGCATCTGTCTGTATGTTTTTGTGTGTCTATATATGTATGTTAT